TAGAAATAATAATTTTCGTTTGAATTTTTTTAAGTTTGTATTTGGTGAAAAATCTGGTTGAGATTTACCTTCATTTTTTGAATGATTTCATTTTGTTATTTTGGATTTTTGAGAATTGCATGTTTGCTCACAGGGTATTAAGTTCGTGGTTTGCATATGGTTCAAATTTATTTAAGTTTTATTTGTATCGCAGGCCTTGTTTGCTCTAATAAAGTCTATAAAGGATTGTGCTTGTAGTTTAAAGTCTTTATTGTATTTATTAAGTGAAATGGTATCAAAGGTTTTTACTTTTAAATGATTTTTAAAGACTTTGAAGACTGTATGTAAATGGAAGAAAGAAATTTTATTAGATTCATAGATGAGTCATTCCTAGTATGTATTGAAGAGTTCCTTACATTAGATTGAGAAGATATGTTTATGCGGCATTCTGTAATACAAGTATTTTCAATTTCAATACTCATGTTGTGGAGGATTGGACTTGTGACTTGCTTGGGAATGCATTGTCACACCCCACTGACTTCCCTCTTAGGGTCAATCGTAGTGCAATAGATATGAACGACTTAGTCAGGAAAAACTCTTACCACAGCAGTTCTGACTTTCTCTAATGAGGACTCAATGGGTAACAAATTAGTCTAACTCAATCGTCAAAAATATTTACAATGCTATTCATTTCATAATTCAATTATATTCACAATTGCCTGAAAGAGCGCATAGCAATAACATCAAAATATATACAAAGTTGCTAAAATCTAACATATAAATATACATACTCAAAATTCTTTACACTTCGAACACTCTTCTGTCGAAAAGCTGTATAATGTCACACCCAGTTAATCGCTCGTGTTCTTTCTCTCTTCTTGAAATCATTAACATAAATAAATGAGCTACAAGCTCAACAAAATAATCAAGCCAAAAATAATATTTTATAGATAAAGAAAGCAATGTGCATGTTCAATCATAACTGATATGCATTACATCAGTACGTAACACAAACATGTTTAAATCATACGAAGCATCTGAAGTAAAATGGTATGAATGCATTAAACAATAATGAGCTGTAATAATATATTTCATTCGTTCGAGCACGATCATATGAATATCTTTAACTGCTTCATATGAATATCACTTGTACCTGCATAAGTTTTAATTAAATTAATTTAATTTCATATCATTGGATTGTCACCCAGCCTGTCGGCTATACAACTATTAATAAATGTCGGGTATCTCCCAACATATTAGTTATCAATAGCCCCATTGATACCAACAACTTCATCCCTGCCTAAATATCAGGAGTCTGGAATTCTAAGCTTTCCTGTCATCAATACTTGTAGGTCATTCATATAGTAACATACATATCACAAAAGTTGTAACATTTTCTTGAGCATATTTCCTATAAAAATCGTTCATCATATGCAAATGATTTATCATATGCAAATGATTTATCATATGCATATATAATGTTATAAGATACCTGCAAGCCATTGTTTAATAAACATGCTCACTAGATCAATAAAAACAGTAAAATTAAAAATATAATCAGTGTCGGCTCAAGTTTGCATTCATGTAATATATGCATATATTCGACAATATGCAGAAAATTTTAAATACATTCGCATATCAATAAATCACTCAGTAGTCATACACGTAGTAATCATACAACAAGATGTGCATATTAATTTAGCATATGATTATTTCATCTGCGTTGACGAAACAACCTCGCAACGAGTTTCCTCAAGCTCTTCTCAAGCTCGCCATTTAGAGTAGACTACTTTTGAAATCATAATTTTCTTGGGATTTCATAAAATTCTTAACTTAGGTCTTAATTTAACCCAAATATAATTCAAGTGCTATTACTCACATCGATATGTTTTTCCCGTTTTAAGTTCTCCCCCTAAAGATTCTTCTATTCCCATCTCTTTTTTCCTTTCTTCCTCTTACTTCCTTTTTTCCCTCTAACAGCCTTACTTGAGACATACAATTCTCAGCTTGCCTCTCTCGGTCTTGCTTATGCCTTCAACTATAGTGCTGGAGTCGTGGACTGCTTCAGATTAATGGAAACAACCAACGAAGGGGAAAGGAAGTGTTCAAATTGCATGAAAGTAAGATTTCACTTACTGATTTCTTCCCAAAGCTCCTAACTTGAGAGCTCTGGCTTCCCTCCCGCTGTCTATCCCACGCGATCCTGTCTCTCGCTACAGTTTTGGGATGAAAGAATGCTGAGACGGCAGGGAAACAAGGAAAAATATCTAGCTTACTCATATCCACTTAAATTTATACCTCACGATTAATCTCTCCATCAAAACCCCATTCCACCATTGCATATCGTCAAAAGTCGAAAACCTACGGTGCTCAAGTGTTTTAACTAGGATTTAATTAAGTTAAAGATAATTAGAATAACATTAAATTGAGTTATGATTTAATATTTTATAAAATAAATTATGTTAATAATTTTTATATACTATTTTTTATCCACTTGATAGTTATAAAATGTCGAATTTTATAACATTAGTTTGGTTGGATTTCAGTGGATGCGAAAATTAGGTTTATCTTAAAATGATTAAACTTTTACCTGTTTTAGCCAAAATTGGGTATTACATGCACATAGGTGTCAAGTTTTTTTGGATTTTGAATGAGAGTTTAAAATTTTGAAATTGATTGTCCTTTGGAGATTGGTTAAATTTGAAATTGTCTCATATTTAGTCTACATAGCGTTCTCTTATGCTTGAGTTTTAATATGTTTGTTGGGACACATTTGAATGATTTTGCTTTTGATGCATTCACACGATTTTGAATTCGCCTGCATGATTCTTTTGTATGACTTTTGGTTCACCTGTATAAAACTTTAGCACAATTTTAGGTGCCGTTGCATGATGCATTTGCATATTTTGTATGGCGTTGAATTCAGGTTAAAGCTTGCCTCACAATGTTCCTAGGGAACTTAAAATTATGTCATCAAGACATACACTGTTTTATTTTTTAATTTGAATGATTGCCTTCTGCCTGCTTTTATGTATGTTTTGCAAATTCGGTGAATTTTATGAGTTTGATTCTTTCTCATATTTGAAAAAGTCATAATTATGCCTTTATTGAATGTATTTTAGTGTGGCGGGCCTTACAAAAAATCAATTTTCCTCTTATAGTGTCTCTTTGTCTATTTGTCTTCATTTTAACTTATTTGGCTTATAGTTCTTAGAATTTGGAGTATTCGATCATAGTGAGGAAGTTCTGCTCTTTCCCATAGACCAGCTTCGGGTTCTCCTATCTGTTTCTTATGACTTCATGTGAAGCTGATGTTTGAATACATATTTGCACTTTATTTTTTTTTATCATTTTTTCTTATTTTACAGTTTTTTATTTAATTTTTTCTCATTTTATTACATTTATATGCAGTTCTGTTTAAGTCCACTTCAATCCAAGTTTTAGCAGCGTCTCAATGTTCCTCTCATGTAGGTTGCATTTAAGGATGAGTTTTGGGCGTACATACTGTGCTAGGTAATATGCTATGTGGCCTTTGTCCTAAGGCATTGTGCCCATGATCTTCAAACCCATGATGCTAAGAAACATGCGCATTGGATAATTGCAAGAGGGATTTTGTAACTTGTATAATTCTTTTGTTGTTGTTGTACTAAGAAATGCATGCATGAGATTTACTTGTGCTGTGATTGTCAACTATGGGTTTCACTCACACACACAAAAAGAGAGAGAGAGAGAGAGAGAGAGAGAGAGAGAGAGAGTTTGAAAAGGGGGTTGTTTGGATTTGCGAGTGAGTTTGTGGAATGGTAGGGGTAGTTGTTTGTTGGCATCGTGGCAGCAGCTGGAGATATGAGAGGAATGGAGGTGTGTGAATGTGATTGAGAGGGGGAGCGAGGAAGAGAGCGGCGTGATTGCTATTTTGAGTTTTGTAGCTTGGCAATGATGTGAAATCTTCGAGGAAAATTAGAAGGCTGGTGATGGAACAAGCTGGAGATAGAGGAAGGGGGCGAATGAGTTAAGAAGTTGTCCGTCAAACATTCTCTAATGATGACCCTTCTGAATATCTTGCTGCTTCAATATTAAGCATTTTTTAACTTGGGTAAGGGTAGGATAAGTGATTTTTGTCGATGTAGATCATGAATGAGGAGAAGACAGGCGAGACTTGGAAGTGGGGAGGTTGGATGTCTAGGGAGCTATAGGCAAAGTGCTGGACGAGATAATGAGGTGGAGAGGAAGGCAGATTTGAGTGATTTTTGGTGTTGGAGGGTGATGGATTTACCCACTATGCGTGAATGGCAAAGACGAAAAGATTTCTGAGTGTAGAGGCTAGTCTAGGAGATAGAGTGTGAGAATGAGGCATGATAATTAGCTTAGACGAAGGGTGGGTGATGAGATTCAGATTATGATTTATTATTATTATTAATATTATTATTTTGTTATAAGAGACGTGGGGGATGAGTTAGACAAAAGACTCGAGATGTTTTTTGCACCGTTAGACACTATAATACTACTGTGGAGTTCAAAGCCCTTACTGATAAGGGCTTTTTAATAAACAATATTTCGATTGATTACTTTAAAAGATATAGTCAGATTTAAAAATTGGTTTTAATTTATGTAAATTTAAAAGGCTTATTTCATGCTTATGAACTATGCTTAAGAAACTTTATATATATGTGCATTGAGTGTCGTTACAAGCCTATCCTTGCTTTAATAAGTTCGATAGGATTCTGATAATTAATGATTAAATAACAAATGAAATTTGATCTCCTCAAACCCTAGCTACCATCCCCATTTTTTTATTTTCCTCTTTTAGTTCCTTTTTCTCAATTCCCTTTCGTTTCATCTTTTCTATCTATTTCCTCTGATTGCTTGTTATCATCGCTGTTGGTTTGACTTTTTAAGGTTAAAATTGTCGAAGATTGGATATTGAGTTTAGAAGATTTCATGTTTTACTTCTGAAATACTGCTCTGTTGTCGTATGAGTGTCCCATTTATGATTTATGTTAAACCGCCTTCTTCTATCACAGTTCATGGAGAGCCATTGTTGGGGGTGATTAGAGTGTGCTACAACATTGCACTTAACAGGTAACTGGTAGCTTAATATATATTTTATATGGAGACTTTCTTTAATTTTTTTAATCTTTTGTCTTCCTGTGGCAGCAAGAGTCCCATAAATCAGGCTACCTCAAAGGCAATGTTGACCCAAATAATCAGTATTGTTTTCAGACGAATGGAATCTGATGAGGCAAGATAATACACACACACACACACACGTACATATCTACAAATTTACATATATACATATGTATAGATATATACATACGCACATACATATCTAGTATCTATATATCTATGTATCTATACATATAAATATATATACATATCAATATATCTATACATATAAATATATACGAGCGGCAAGGCAGATGCACTCAATCGGGCTCGAACCCGTGACTCTAGGACTTAGAACTCACTTTGCGGATACCAACCAAAGAATCACGGCGAGCGGCACATCTCTCTCTCTCTCTCTCTCTTTATTTTGGTTCGATTTAAATATTCTTGTTCGTATTTAACTCAAAATTAACTTGTTAAAATTAATTGAAAAAAATAGATGTAGTCTTGGATTTGAACCTGGACCAAATCTGCGTAAAAGAAAACACATAACTACACTATCACACGAGCTGTTATGATTTAAACTTATATATATATGTATATATATATATATATATATGTATATATGTGTATGTGTGTGTCTGTATATGTGTGTATATGCATATATATATTTTATATATCTACATATGTATGTATAGATCGATGTATATACGTATATATAGATATTTATATATAGACATTTACATATGTACGTATATGTATCTATCTATATGTATGTATCTATCTATATGTATGTATGTATCTATCAATATGTATGTATGTATGTATGTATCTATCAAGTATGTATGTATGTATGTATCTATATGTATATAGACACACACACACACACACACACACATTGAAAAATTTTTACAACTTAAATTCTGCTTGATATTTTATCATGGGGCCTAGCGCGTGAGAAATCAGTATTTGGGTCTTTGACAAATACCGATTTCCTTTATGAATGAATATATATAATGTCGCATACTCGGGTCTGTTGGTTGGCATCCTCGATATAAGATCCCTTAGGTTGGGGGTTCGAATCCATTCTAGAGATGTGAGCCTTAAGGAGGTGGTACTCAAATTGTAGGCACATTAGGAGTGGCTGGAAGCTCGTATAATAGCCTCTGACCATTCCTTCTAATATATAGATAGATACATTCATATTCGATTAAAATTAAATCATGAATTAGAAGAGAATGGATATGGTTAGCTAGAGATAGTGC